AAATACATTAAAATAAATACACATATTTATATTAATTATTGTAATGTTCACTCACCAGAGGCATTGAGCTGGTTTTATATTAACTACAACAAATTAATGACTACTATGTTTTTTTTATATTTAAATATTTGTTTATGTATTTATTTGTGTGTGTGTGTGTGGCCAGCTCAGCCCACCAGGGGGCAGGGCTGGCTGGCATGTGGTGCTGGGGGATTGAACTGTGGTCCCTGTGCTTTGCTAAACTTGATTCTAAGTAGGTGCCTCAGACCACTGAGCCATCTCACCAGCCCCACTACTATGTTTTTTAAAGTAAAAAATAAATAAATAAAAAACCACTAAGTGAGAAAAAAAAAAATCATACATCTGATAAAGGGTCAGTATCCAGAACATATTAAAAGCTCTTAACATTCAAGAGCCAATTACAAATGAATATAGGACCTGAGCACAGTTCCCCAAAGATGCAGACAAATGTTCAATAAACACATTAAAAAAGTGCTCGGCCATCATTGCTCATTAGGGAAACACAAATCAAAATGACAACAAAGGCCGGGGAGATGGCTCAGTGGAATAAGCGCTTTCCTGTCAAGCGCAAGGGCCTGAGTTCAATCCCCAGTTCCGCCAAAATAAAATGACAACAAATGACCACTTCACACTCACTAGGATGGCTAAAACCAAAATGAAGTACCACAACAAGGTTTACCAAGACTGAAAAGACAAAGGTTGATGAGGATGTAGAGAACACGAAACCTGGACACACTGCTGATGGGGATGTAAAACAGTGCAGGCGCTGTGGAAAAGTTTAATAGGATCTTGGAAATTTAAACATAAAATCAGCATATGACCCTGCAATTCCATTTCTAGATATATACTCCAGAAAAGTGAAGACATAAAACCAAACATTTGCACATTATTGTTAAAAGCAGTATTCATAATAGCTCTAATGCTGAAAAAACCCAAATAAGCTGATGAATAAATAAAATGAGGTATAGTCATATAATGGAATTATTATTCAGCTACTATAAATTGTTACTTGCTACAAAATGGATAAATCTAGACAATATTATGCTAAGTGAAAGAAACCAGTCATAAAAGACTGTGATCATATAATTCTATTTATGTGAAATGTTCAGAATAGGCCAACTGAGAACCCCAAAGTTGATTACTGGTTACCTGGGGCTGGCAGTAGGGAGGGTGAGCTGGATGAGGAGCAACTGCTAATCTTTTCAGAGATGACAAAAATAGGCTAAAATTAAGATTATGGCAATAGTTAGAAAACTGAAAATATTAAACACACTGTATGGTATGTGAATTATATCACCATAAAGATGTTAAAAAGGAAATGGAAAGCCCATTTCAGGCTGGCACTAA